TTCTCCCACCCCACTTTACCAGTATTAGAGGAGTTACTTTTGTGTGTTGAAGGTTGTCAGCCTGCCAGACCATGGTCATTTTAGTGTTTAATCAAAGACAACTGGATCTCTTTATCTTTAAAGATGTTTTGATTCTCATCTGAGTAATTTTTACATTTCAAGGATAAAGAACACTCCTGAGGATGGTAATGTTCATAATTTGGACAGTGAAGACATGGTTTGAGAGACAAGTGAAAGAAGCCATCTATATATATATATATATATAACTATATTAAACAAAGGAGGAAGTCCCAGGTATTATCTGTCCAGTGTATGAGAATAAAACCCTTTACACAGTGCAGCATTGAATCTGATCTCCAAATGGTTTCACACCAATTTGCACCTTCATGCATGTGACAAAAACACCTTACATGAAGACCAGGTTGACAAAGACCCTAACAACCTGAAAGAAAAAAATGGACATCGATTTGTTCACTGCAGTTTAGGATTGGGACTCTAGACTTTTCAGTTTGAACTGAGAAAACTAAATGAAAACAAAATGTCTTGAAAACAAGGAATTGTTTGAACTTTTAGAATTCTTTGTGTGATGATTTGTTGTTACCTCCTAWCTTTAGTTTTAGAAATATGTTTGTATATTGAGGAAATGTCCTTATTTTGCAGTCCAGTTTCAGGTGATCAGTTTCAGTATTGTCCTCCTACAATACGTTAAGATCATAAAGGATATCTACCTGCCTACTTGGCAACAAAGAACAGATGTTTTCTCCTGTATCTTATAGAATCTGATGCTGTTCAGGAGCAGCATATAGATTTATTTATGTCTTGTCCATCTTAAGTTCTGCAGAGCCCAAAAGTGATAGAAAGAGAGCGATTGCAACATCTTAACTGAATGCCAGGTCTGAAACTGGGAGATCAAGACTAAAAAAAAAAGAAAGAAGACATGGGAGTTGTTTATAAAACATTATTACTATTGGTAGGTAGTTTCCCCAATACCCAAAATAATAGTAGGTTGTACTTTGAGGCGTTATGACTGAGAAGTGAAACCAGGCAAATTATAGGCTGCTTGTGGTTCCCTGTACATAAATCAATATAAAGGGATGAGCACTAAAAATATAAAATGTTTGTTGTTATTTTCTTTATGACCTCCTACTGTTCATTCATTCACACCCCTAAAAAGCTAAGCGTCATACTTTATTTTTGGCTTATAAATCTGCCTTGGAGGACCCTTTCCTAGCTGTTTTGTAGCTTTTAATCATTTTATGTGATTATATTGACAACAGTGCAGCCATACAATGTTCCAGCAAGACAGGGCCACAAGTCGGTTCAGGGTATTGTTTTGCTTTTCACTCATTCATTTCAAACAATTTGAAGCTTGTCATCTTTTTTTCCCTCCTGGTTGTCACCCTCTCTCTGCTTTCTTTCGTTTCTTTTTGTTCTTTAGAGCAGCCTCGCTAAATTTCAATTCAACGGGGGCCCCTTAAAACACACTTGTGCACATTCACTTGGGGCCCCCTGTCACATCAAAGACAGGAATGTGGGGCCTGTTGCCATTATGCATGATTGCACATAGTTATGTCAAGTTTATCACTTTTTTTTTGGYGTGTACGCTCCTATTTGTGTGCGTTCACTACAACATGCCATTAGAGAGCTGAGTGTGCTGTGTTCACACACTGCTTTGAAATGTCAAAGCCAGTGTTCTCCAGCTCTCAGACCAAGGAACACCTGGACCATTCTGGTATATTTTATGAGTTCAATTTTTTTCACCTAGCATTTTACTTCTTTTTAACAGTCTGTGTTGCACTTTTATTTCCCTTTTTTACTTCCKGGTTACCCCTAGTTTGGCTAAAGGAAGTTGTTTTTGAAAAAGTTTRACRTTTTTWGTWTTTTWTTWATTTATTTATTTTACATATTTAGRTTCTTTACCCTCTTCCTTCAATTCTGCCTTTCTCCCTTGTTTCTTTCATCCTATAATACATCCCTGCCATAAAATCTTTGAAATTTACACAAGCTAAATCACTTGTAACCTGCAGCTATAACAGGCATCATTTTTGTTGGCAAGCCACTGTCTTATCATCCAGCTCTCTCCGCCTCATTTTGCCAGCCTCCCTATCACCAGTAATTCAATCAGAGCTAACCAGGCCTGCCTGGCACAGATAAAACCGAAGACCGGGGGCTTTTTGGTGGATCGGCATGCTGAGAGATACTGTATGTTAATGCTGATGAAAGTTGGATGTCGTAGGAGGATGGTGATGGGTGGTGACTTCATGATGATGATAAGTGATGGTTTATTTGGTTTCAGTCATATTTACAATGAGTGTGAAAGGAAACTGAATATCATATGCAAAATAGTATTCAAGTCATTTAAGGGAGTTAGAAAAGTTAAAAACAGTCCTGTTAAAAGGATTTCAGCTGAAGTTATTCTTGAGTTTGTTTTCCTTAGAAAGTATTTGAAGACAAATTTCATTTCTTCTCAGCACTGTAGGGACACGGTTCCTCAGAGAGCCCAGCTGTAGCAAAAATATGTCCTTCGTCTCTGTTTATTCTCAAATTTTTTCTGCACTAACGACCATTTCCAGTTCAGGAAGAAAAAGCRATTGTTGGTCATGGAAGCAGTCTGAATACTAAAAATATTAGCTAAAATCTTGAACGTTTTAATAAACTTCATTTATAGCCAAACACGATTTCTGTAAGTTAACTCCCCYTCATTTCAGTTTTCTCTCTTTGTCCCTATCCTGCTGTTCTGCCTCTCTTACTTATGACAATGCCTCTAATGTGTTTAAGTCTGGTAATGTTATATTATACATGTTGACAAGAGAATGGTGATGGTGCTTCTGTAGAAAGCACAAGTGCAGTCTTATTCTTTGATTCCATCCATCAAGCACTTAGTTGAAAAAGCAATACAAAAAAAAAGGCTATGAAACTGCATCACCTTTTCTGTCATTACTGTCTGTTGCATCAGTTTCTCAGCTTGGTTTATGCATTGACAAAGCTGTGCATGGACCCAGATTTAAACCAGTGATTCTATAAAGCAAATTTAAACATGACAGGTGCTTGTAGGTAAATGTGAAAAACAATAAATACACAGGATGTAAGTCAGTATATACATTAGTTCTCACCTTGCTGTATGTGCTAGGTTACAACTTTTCAAATTTGTTCTGCCTGGAAATATACAAAGCATTTTCAGAGACTGATTTATTTAGATGTTCTTTATGTATTCCCTTCATCCTCCTTTTCATCCCTCCATCTGTTCAGTCTGTATATTCAACAGTCTTTTGTTCTCTCCYTTTCTCGAGCTAACCTTGGCTGCATTGCCTGTAGAATGAATTGATTGAAACGATTTATTACTGACGTTTTCACACGTCACCTACTCTCACCCCCTTGTTTTCTGTCTCTCTCATCGTTATTGGTTTGGCTGCACATMTTTTCAATGTTTGCACTGCAGACGAACTGCATCTTCAGCTGGAAGGAGAGAGCTTAAATAAAACAAGCGTATTGTTGAAAACAAAGACAGAATAAATCTTTTTTTTTCAATAAATTGTTAGGCCTACTTTAATCTACAGTGAAGGAAGTAAAATGAAACAGGATAAGACCAGTTTGATTTGGGGATTTTGCAAGCTAGAGAAAAAACAAATTGACTAGCAGATGGATACAAACAAATCAGAAAGACAGAATTTTATTCMGTGTATGATCTTGTTTTTGTGTCTGGATAAACCAGCTCAAGTTTAGACTGGTCATCATTAGCCAGTGAACTGGAAATGCCTCGTATTTGTTGGAGAAAATAAGAAAACAATGCAMGCAGCTTGGAGAACAAAAGTTATTTCTTCCTCTYCTTGCATGTCATCCTCCATTTTTCCTTGTACTTGTTCCTTAGACTAAAAAACGGAGTGGCAGTGGGTGTTGGTATTGCYCATCTGTACATCTAGATGCAAGCCATCCGTGAATGAAATGTATCTTTTGTTTACAGGCCCATTATCTAGATAATAACATCCATATTTCCTCCCATCTCCAGTGCTTTATCACAGCCTTATGAGCTCTTTCACTCTATCTCTGTATCTCGCTGTAGCGGACACAAACACACACAAACACACCCAAGCAGTGGGAGATAATGGGATTGTTGCCTCTGGTTTCTCTTGGTGAGATTGTAAATAAATTCTTCTATCATAAAGTGTGTGTTTTTCCAGCATCCAACCATGCATCTCTCTCTCTCTCTCTCTCTCTCTCTCTCTCTCTCTCTCTCTCTCTCTCTCAGTGTGTGTGTGTGTGTAAATGTGTAAATCAAAGTGCATACAGTATTACCATTGTACATCCATCTCTGTCTGTCTGTGTATACACCCTTTCATCCTATTTTTTTCCATTTGGATGTGAGCCTATTTGTGTGTGTGTGTGTGTGTGTGTGTGTGTGTGTGTGTGTGTGTGTCCAGTATCATTTTCCAGCTAGTCATTGTCTGCTGTCCTTCCCTTGTCACTGTGTGCTGATAGTGACACAAGTCTACAAAGCTCAGTAATAGAGAGCTGATACTTGCCCTCCCCCCCTCRGACGCTCGGTGCTTTTCATTTGCTGCTGAGATGACTTTGGCCCACAGCCATCACCGCCAGCCAATCTCCTGCTTTCTATCTACACCATTATGTTACAAATCTGTGCAAATTATGRTTAGAAGCTCGCAAAAATGTAACTGTCAGCAAGTATTTTTGATGTGTGATTGTCTTGACTTTTTGCTTTGTGGTTCGTAGTTACATCTGTCTATWGGTGCATGAAATATTGTAGTTTGGAGTTGTTTCAAGGTGGCATRAATCCGCTAGCTGTTAGCTCAACAGCCTGGTTAGAATTAAACTAGTTACTTACAAGCGATGTCTACAGCAGTTCGAACATTAATTAATCTTGAGCCTTTTCATTTTTTTCTTTTACAAACCTTGTATTTATAATGACAAATTATGTTTGTGATTCACTATGTTTCGTTTGTCCTGTGCACATTTAAATGGGATTTTCTTGTGTTTTCTTATAGATTCTGGTGAATTCTGTGAGCCCCAGCCGTCCAGCAGTTCTGTATGAGAAGGTGACCGTAAGTAAGAGTGGAAGCCCCTTACTGCGAGACATGCTGTTCAGCCCGGACCAGCAGTACATCTACACTCTGACTGACCGACAGGTGAGTTCATTGCTGTAGATACAATCATAAACCCCAAAGTATTARTGCCATTTTTTCACATTAAACCTTATTAGTCTTTATTTGTATTTTTTAACCTACCAACCTGCAGCACAATTACTGCACAACACGTTGCCATRGAATTTAATTGCGCAGCAGCACAGAATCACACCAGCTACGTGTAACTACCCTGACAGTTCAGTTATAATCAAGACATTACACACACTCTGAGACATGCAGGGAGTGGCACAGGTCACATGTGGTGTGTGTGTGTTCATGTGGTCATTAGGAGCCCCAGCACTGGTGAACATTGCTCTGCTTTAATGGTGAGGTGCACAGAGGAAGGGGTTGGGGCGTGGGGAGGTGGAGGGTAGCATGTCGCATCGCTGTCGCTCCCCAGGCCCAGCTGCTCCCCTCGTTTTTCTGTCTCATTAGTGCGGTGAGTGAAGGAAGCAGCTATGGAGGGAGGGGAGAGGAAGAAAAGTGGGGTTGTACATCTTGGGAACATCTCTGTATGATTTGCAGTGAAATTGGTTGTTACATTAAAAAGACATGAGATACATGTCCGTGGTCTGTTTGGAAAAATAAGTTTAGGAGATTTTATCCTTTAGTTTGTCATAACCAAAGCCTGACAGTAACTTTAAATATTTGCTCATGTTTTCACTTTCTCCTGTCAGGTGACTGTTTCACTGAAAAATTAATATTTTACTAAATATAACTGAATAGTTTGGAATGATTAAATCATGAAGTGAAAATGTCTTGGAGGATTAGTCTTTTTTTTTTAGCTCTTCTACTCATCATTTAAAATGTAATTCAGCATTGACATGGCACACCACACATAAAATACGTGTCACACATCTGCTGTCATCACATCACACCGTTGAGCCAGGATGCCAGCTTCTCCTTTCTAAGAATCAACTGTTACCTCTGTTATCACTGGGGAGGTCAGGGGCATATACCAGTGGCAAGTTGGCTCAAACCCCTTTTTTCATGAATGAACATCAAGACAGGAAAAATGTGCGTCAGGTCTGACTAGAAGTGCTCTGTTAGGAAGATAAAATTAAAAGGCTGCAGAAAATGTGTGATGATTTATTTTGTTATTTTAGAAATAAAATCATAAAATATTATCTTATCTGACATAGTTTGGAAGTGAACATGCTCATGCAATTACATTTGGCCAGTTCTAAAAATATGTTTCATGCGTCACCTTCATTTTATTATTTCTAAATTTATTTCTGGCACTTTAGAGTTACTGTTACACTCAAAAATTTAAAATTCTTTGCTGAATTTTCTTGTAAATAAACTGCACATACATTAATGCCAAGACTTTTCAGTGTTAGGACTGCAGCTATGAATAACTTTAGCTGCTGGAAATGCTTGTTAATCAAAGGAAAACCCTTTGTCTTGTTCATTTTGTTGCAAGTTTTGAGGTGCCAACCGTACATTGTTGTTAGATGTGCATGTTCGAGGCGATACACAGGAGTGTGAAATATCTTTTAGTATGAAATTAGTGAAAGCTATAGATTCCTCATTCACCAATYTACACATCTGCTATAGGCACCAATACAGCCAGTACATATTATGAGAGGGAATGCAATCCGATGTACTGTATGTAATTTATACACCCTAATTCAAAAAAAAAAAATAGTTCAAGCTCTTCATTCACACACCAATACACACCCTTCCTACTTAAGGACGTACTGCCTCTATCCACCCAATGTTKCTTTCACCATAGTCCCCGGCAAACACACATTCTCTTTGTCGCACATACACACCACTTCATCTCACTGAGTTTGATCCCCATTAATGGTTAGCTGGCTTGGGTTAAGCAGAATGGGTGCTACGGTTGCCAGACCCCGCAAGCTAAACCCCCTCTCCAGCACTAATGACTAGAMGGGGCAATTCCCTTCTCTTGCCCTCCATCTTACCCTCATCTTTATCCTTTGCCCTCCATCTATCCCACCGTGTCCCCCATCCCTACTTTTTTTAAATCCTTACTTCAGCTGCTGCAGACACGCTGCATGTTTCTGTCTAAACCCAAATTGAGTTCTCCCCCTCTTGAATGCCTTCTACTGATTCCATTCCCATATTTTTAATGATCTCTGCACATCACGGCTATGTCCGCCCGCCCACCCACATATGCACAGGCACACACGTATGTATCCTTTCTTAAAGGAGGCAGAGGTGAAAAAAATAATAGAGCCAATAGAAAAATGGGCAGATGAACAAAGAAAAACCCGAGGAACTGAAGTGTACGACTGCAAACATACCATATTTTTACATTTTTTCCCCTAAACACACAAATTGCTTCCTTCAGTTTTGGAGTCTGTGTGTGGAACTGGTTGCCTGTGGGGGTTCCTCAGACAAGCCAAGCACATTAAGGTGTCACTGGACATATCCAGTGATGCGTAGCCCACAACAACCTCTCTACCCTTGCACATACACACAGCAGACACACACACAAACACCACACAAATGGAGGCCCAGGCAGTGAGTCAGAATTAGGGGGCAAGGCTCTGTGATTTATGACTCCCTCTGTTCCAGCTATATTCATCACTGTCATTATTATCAATAGAGGATATGACAACAGGAGAGGACGGCCTGCTGTGTGTGTGTGTGTGTGTGTGTGTGTGTGTGTGTGTGTTTGATGAGACACTATGTTATTGCAGGAAATTTAGATCAGTTTATTTCTGACTGCAGTCACTCTGTGGCTTAGAGTCCTTCGCTGTGTGCCTGCTGATCGTCACATTTACAGTTTTTATTTGGTGCACAAAAGTTGACATTTTTTTAAAAAACACCACACATCTCAATGCCATGGATCCATCCAMTCTCCTCTAAATGTTCTACTCACATCATCTCTTAGGTTATTGTTCACAACGCCAGGAGCATATTTTCTTTTGGCTTTAGAAKGTTGTTGTGCTTCTGGTTCGCTGAAGCTGTTTTATGTCTGAGAAGCTTCGCAAAGAGCAATGTCACCCTTGGAGTCGACGCTAACTTTTTGAAGCATTTCCCGTGCAAAACTCACTGTTTGAAAGCATCTCACGGTGTCTTGGCTCAGTCAAGACTTTTTATCGTCAAATCATTTCCTCCTCTTCTTTCTAGTTCAAAAGTTAGAAAACTGACTGCATTTGGTGCCACAGCTGCTGTTCGTTTTCTGCGTATGCACCTACTCATCAATGTTAGACACACATGGTCACACACATCCATGTTTTTTTTTAATTTTAGTTTTTTATGACAGCTTTTGCATAGTATAGTGTGGTGGCAGTGTCTAATTGCTGGGAGCATGAATATTCATCTCTAGTGTCAGAAGGCGGCTTGGATTTTGAGCAAGAGTGAGCATCTTGGAAATGAAATGAAGAACTTGATATTGTCGGGGAAATGATGTATGCATTAGCCAGGTTTTGTGCCAGAGCTAACAATACTACTTCAAGGATTACAAGTTTAAATGTGAGTTTACAGAACGTGTCAGTAAAATTTTCTACGAGTTATCTCAGTTTCTTGCCAATTGAATAGACCACTGTTTTTTAGTACTTTTAAGCTGTGGATGAGAGACTGCCTGAGTTTGGATGAGTAAAAAGTTAGGCTAGAAAGGCACTATATAGGTACGCTTTGTCAGTATTCAAGAATGTTTGCCCTAGAAAATGTCCTAGTACTGCATATATTTTAATGTATTTTATAGTTTCTTATACATTTTAATCCTACATTTATGGATTAAAGATGCAACAGACAATTTTTAATGCTATTGCATCACGGAACAAAATTCACAAATAGATAATGTGTCAAACTACAGTATATTATTACAGTCACATTATCATATCACTTATTTATTTTTTGTTAGCCTACAAGATTATTAGTCTTATAAAATCTGTGCTGCGGGCAGCAGACTGCAAACTTTCCTGCTGAAAAGAAGTCAGCACTATTTCTGTTCATTCTTCCACTGCATGTACAGCCATCTCCTCTGCATCAGTTTAAAAAAATACAACAAAGGCTTAAATAGCACCATGTTTTGGTAGATTTAGTTAAAGTAACTTCTAAGCAATTTGTCATTAAAGACATTTTAAAAGAGTAGCAATTWAAAAAAACTTGTAGATTTTGGTAAACAAGTGACTTGTAGTCACTATACTTCCTGCAGCTCAGCAAGAAGGTCGCCGGATGGAATCCCAGCCCAGGGACCCTTTCTGGGTGGAGTTTGCATGTTCCCTCTGTACATTTGTGGGTTTTCTCCGGGCACTCCAGCTTCCTCTCTCAGACCAAAAACATGACTGTTAGGTTAATTGGTAACTAAATCGTCCCTAGGTGTGAGTGACAGACTGAATGGTTGTTTGTCTCTACGTGRGTCCCTGTGATGGACTTGCMACCTGTCCAAGGAGCACCCCGCCCCTTGCACAGTGACTGCTGTAGATCAGCACCTGTGACCCTGAAAGGAAGAAGTGGGTATAGATAATGGATGGATGGATTTTAAAATAAGCTTTATTTAGAACAATAATATTGCTTTTTTGGATACCTGAGTATTTCTGCACTGCACACTTTTATAGAAATATACATTTTGACACACTTAACATTCAAACTGTTTCATACCAATGCATGCATGCGCCTGTGTGTTAGTTAACACCACTGTCTGGTTTTCTAGTCATTGTGTGAAAGAGGTTTTCCCTCTGCATTTGAGCAGAATTTRCATTCCTCTAAAGGAGTTTATAGTGTCAGCCCTTCTATCCAACACACTCACACACACAGTTCTTGTACCATTTACAAGCTGTTGGTTTGAGTCAAACAATAGCCCTCTTTGTGTTGTTGAGTGTCTGAACATGGCCTCATCAATTAAGATCTTACCCACAGGATTTCATCAGACATCAGTCCTCTGTGTCTGTTTGTGTGTGTTGATCTGTTTACGTTCACATATTACTGGTTCAAGGCCAATCTTGTTAGCAAACACATTAGCACTGACTGACATCAACATTCATAATAAGCAGCTGGTTGCATCAGTCTAGACTGGCATTTCATTC